ATCCAGTTGGATGTTTGAACTTGTGAGCTCCTCGGGACCACAGGTGTTCTGGACTCCTGTGGGTCCAGCTGCATGACTTGGGCGGGTACCAAGGAGGATTAAAGAAGAAAGCAGTCAACTAGAGCACAATGCTGAGGACGGAGGTCACACCTGGGCAAGGAAGCAGCCAAGTTCACAGCTAAGCAAAGAGAAAGGATAAAGCCTGCCTCATATGAAGTGCAGCTTTTCCCCATGGAAATTTATGACTCCAGATATGTCACTCAAAGATACCAAGAAAACTAATATTTTCGAGGACATGTTTTAGTTTGAAAAAATGATAAACTTTTGGACACAGGGCAGTTTTTTATCCTACAGTCCTCTGGAGAGAAAATTGGAAATAAACATCATTAGTTTTTCTTTCACCAAGGCTGTGTCAATTCTCTTAGAGAAACTTTGTGATCTTACATAAAGCCATTTTTGTTTCTTCAGAGCACAACGAATTTGCAAAGAAATGTAGGCAGAACATGGTATTCAGACTTTAATTTTACTCACCTGCAAACTGTCCCCTTTCCATCATAATTTTATTTAAATCATGGTTATGCTCTTAATTAACAATTTAATTGGTTAGTGCTTTCTCAATCCAGTTCTCTGGAGGCATGGTTCTCTGTTTAACTTTCTTGTTTTAATTCTTCAGTGAAACCATAAAATTTAATTAGGAAAGTAACCAGCTTTGTAACAGCAGTTCTCTGTCTAATTAGCTATGCTCTGGCAGTACCTTCTCAGATTCCATTCAGCATTGCACACACACTTTGCATTTGTTCAGGTTTTAAATAAGGCTTGTGAATTTAGCCTAAGCACATATTCCAATTGTTTTTCATTTTTCCATAAATGCTTGGTTACAGCCAGTGAAAACAGAAAAAGTAACTTAGAGCATTCATATGTCCATGTGCTAAGTCACTTCAGTCGTGTCTGACTCTGAGCAACCCTATGAACCATAGCCCGCCAGGCTCCTCTGTCCGTGGGATCTCTCAGGCAAGGATACTGGAGTGGGTTGCCATGCCCTTCTCCAGGGGATCTTCCCGACTCAGGGATTGAACTTGCATCTCTTAACATCTCCTGCATTGGCAGGTGGGTTCTGTACCACAAGTCCCACCTTGGAAGTCCTAAAGCATTTATATATGCTGTTAAAGCAACAGCCTTCAGGGCCCAAGATGTAGAAATGTTATCTTACTGTGCTTATTCTTTTTTTTCTTTTTTTTTTTTGCTTCAGAACAAATGACCACAAGCTCAGCTTAAAACAATCCCCATTTATCATCTTACAATTCTATAGGTTGGAAGTCCAGATGCAGCTGGCTGGATTTTTTCTTCACAATTTCACCAAGCAAAGATCAAGGTAGAAGCTGGGCTGGAATTTCATCTGGACCTCAGGGTCATTTTCCAAGCTTATATGCTTGTGGCAGAATTCTTAATGGTTGTAGGATTGACATCTCCATCTCCTTGCTGCCTATCACTGGGGATGGCTCTTATGTCTTCGTGGCCACTCTCCTTATCACAGAGCTCCCATGTTCGGTTCACAACACAGCAGCTTGATTCTAGGCCAGTGGGAGCACTCCTCTGACTTCTTCGTCTGTGAACAGCTGGAGAAAACGCTCTGCTCTTAAGAGGCTTGCCTGATTAGGTCAGGCCCACCCTGGTAATCTCCCTTCTGTCACATAATACATTATATATTAAGAGAATGACCATCTTATCATAGTAACAGCCCCCCACCCCGATCTCCACACACACTCAGAGGAGGGATTATGCAGGATGTGTACACCATGGGGTAGAAATTGTGGGGCCACCTTAGGATTCTGCCTGCTACACTATGCTGCAGGGAAAGAAGGCAACTGAAAGCCTCTGGCAAACTCTCCTGTCTCTCCGTGGAGGCCGTGCACAGGGTGTGCTGAAGAGCTGTTAGCAATGGCCCCAGTTCTGTCCCGCCAGCTCCACAGGGCATCGGATGGCAGACTGTCACATTCTTTCCTCTCTGCAGGCTGCTTTCTCTGCCTGGCCAGAATTGCCATTTTCAGCAGTGCAAGAGGATCACGGGATGAAATCACATGAATTTAGAAATGACATCAAGTTAACATGACGCTTTTGGATAGAAATTTATTTAAGCTCTGGGCCTCAAACTTCAGCCCAATAAAACAATTTATAGGCTGAGTCGTAAGAGTCCTCCAGCAATCACTGAAACTGGAGGTGGTCTTGGTGACCCCCCTGACTCAAGGAATAAAGTAGGTAAGAGCACAATATTGATCACATTCTGAAACCAGGCTCCACTGCCCTGCAAACTCAGCTTTAACGCTCTCCATTGTGACTAGGGTCGGAGAACACAGACTAGAGTCAGGAGGTGGACTGACTTGGGTTCTAGAAGGTTTGGACTGCCTAGATGTGTATTCCAGTTCTGCACTGTGACCTGGGAAGTTCCTCAACCTCTATCTGTCTCTCCCAGTTTCTCTGTCTGTTCAGTTCAGTTGCTCAGTCATTCCGACTCCTTGTGACCCCATGGACTGCAGCGTGGCAGGCCTCCCTGTCCATCACCAACTCCCAGAGCCTCCTCAAACTCATGTCCATCAAGTCGGTGATGCCATCCAACTATCTCATCCTGTCATCCCCTTCTCCTCCTGCCTTCAATCTTTCCCAGCATCAGGGTCTTTTCCAGTGAGTCAGTTCTTCGCATCAGGTGGCCAAAGTATTGGAGCTTCAGCTTCAGTCCTTCCAATAAATATTCAGGATTGATTTCCTTTAGGATTGACTAGTTTGATATCCTTGCAGTCCAAGGGACTCTCAAGAGTCTTCTCCAACACCACAGTTCAAAAGCATCAATTCTTCAGTGCTCAGCCTTCTTTATGGCCCAACTCTCACATCCATACATTACTACTGGAAAAACCAAAGCTTTGACTAGACAGACCTTTGTTGGCAAAGTAATGTCTCTGCTTTTTAATATGCTGTCTAGGTTGGTCATAACACAGCAGTAATAACAATACCCAATTCATTGTGTTGTTGAAATGAGGCAGTTCTGGAAAGCACTTAGCACTGTAACCATCACATGGTGACTGTGAGGGGCTGGATGTAACTGTCTGTGACGTGTCCTCAGAGTGTCATCACCACTTGAAATATTAACTCCAACTCCCTCCCCTTCACTCTGCTCCCCTCTTTCCTCACCAGTCCCTTCCCCTTCTCTCAATTGTCCTCTAAGCTCCTTCACATCCAAATCATTTCCTTCTCTGGTTTATTCCCTTTCTTTAAGGACCAAATGAAAACAATATACAGGAATGTATTTTTCTGTATACGATTTTGTGTTTTTCTTAAGTACCAAAAGTCACAACGTAAATGTGCTGTTATCAGGGTCTACCATCTTGTCTATGCTTAGCATCTTTTGGTTTCATCTACAATGACTGATGAGGTTATAAGGAATTCCCACAGTTTTCACTGATACAATGTTACTGCTTTTCATAATGGTAAGTGATTATCATATATAGAACTAGGCAATTTCATTTTCATAACTCTAGAATGCCTACCAGGTAAACATAATCACAAAATGGAGAAAAAGTCCTTTGATGAACAATTTTTTCCCCAATATTTGGTTCAGAATATTTGTTCCCTGAAATAGTGTACACTAAGGTGTAAAGGGGGCTGTTTCACTTTTCCAGTGATATGTCCACCACACAATGTCAGTGGAGACAGAAGCTTATACTTGACACTTGCTTTGTTTCACTGCAACTTTTGAGTCCCTGGGGTACTGTTCAGAGAGTGTTCAGGTATTGCTGCTAAAAAATCTATAATGGGGTTGATGATCATATGTGACCAGAGGTAGCTCAATGTCAGTACCCAGAATCAGAGATTCCTTTGAAGGGGAGACGAGACTTAGGACATGCCTGGTGAGTTCAGCCTCACTGGTATTGGAGAAAATCACAGGAGTTTGGAATAAACTCCTGCATCCTCATTCATGAGCCCCTGTCATCAGACCCCAACTGCCTGTGTAGGAACCATGGATGACGAGGAAGAAAGCAATCAATAAAAGTTCAAATAAACTTCCTTTGCAAGTAAAGTCAGTATCTGAAGGGAAGACGTCAAAGAGAAACATCAAACCAAAAATAAAAGACCAAAAATCTGATAATTATACATATCTCCAGAAGCTACCGAATTTATCCTTCCTCTGTCATCCCCCTAACACCATCTCCAGGTAGAACTGTATGCCAGTCCTAGGACACTTGTTTGTCTATCCCACACTGAGGTTAGTGAGGCCCCCTGGTAAATCTGCTTTCCTTTCCACTAAAATGAAGCTAGAGCACCACAAACTTTATGGGATGCTTCTGTGCTTGGTAGGCACGGAAAAGAGACTATCAACCCCATTTCTCATCATAACCTTTTAGCTAAAGTTAACACTCAATTATATATAGTAATAGGGAGATGAGAAATCCTCTAACTCTAAAATCCATAGAATTCATCAAAGATTGAATAATCAAAGTCATTCAACCTTTGCCAACAGAATTCTCTTATCGGACTCACTGAAACATAGCAAAATTAATTAACTTGAATTTCTAGCTTATTTTCCTCCGCTCATGTCTGCTTGAAGTTTTAATTAGAAGGAAAGTGTCTAGATGATCAGCAGGAAGATTTCAAGGAGGAGAAGTGAAGCTCTTGAAAATTACTAACTAAATTCACTCATTCGTTAAGAAAATCTTACCGAGCTTCTGATGTTCAAGACACTCATTGAGAACAGAGCAACAAACAAAAATAGAAAGCCTCTCTCATGAAGGTTACATTCTACTAAAGGAGATGGAAAATAGACTAGTAAATAGAAAACTGGTCAGATATATAAAACTTGTAGTAACCTTAACTATACGTTCAACGCACTTCCAGGTCATCTCTTATTGTTTTCTTCCCATGGCTAGTGAAGTCCAGTGATTCAGCCTCAGTCAGCAAAGCCCTATAAACACATTATGAGCATAATGACAAGTCAGTGGACACTTGCTTACCTTCAGCTGGTGGCATATTTTCTTCAGTACAAATGCTTCCTCTTCTGTATTGGGAATAAATCTTATCACCTTATCACTACAATAAAAGGAAAAAAAAATGGTGAGGTGTACCTTTCAAAAATAAAGATACAGCCATTTCTATATTTTAAAAAAACTGCCTTTGCATTTAGAAAAATCAGAAAAATTTTAGACTGGCCAGTAGGAATTTTATTGCATTCTTGGTACTCTATGATAGTTTTGATTTTTTTTTCCCTCTGTCTTAAAACTATTCATTTTTTCCATCAGTTTTTGAAGATTACAAATTCACACTCAAGCAGTGAAAGGTGAAAAAAAAAACCGTAACAGTGGCAACAGGATAAGAACTTCCATGATATCTCAGAGCAGATACTGAGAAGGAAAATTCCCGATGACAGGAGAAAAAAAAAAAAACAAAACCAAAAAGCCTGCTTAAAAATTTTAACTTTATGCTGAAAGGGAATGTGACTTTTGATAAGAGGACCCATGACATCCATACACAGTGGAACATTTCTGGTTTGGATTCTTCCCACATTGAGAACATAAAGATAAGCCCATCTCTAAGAGACATCTTATTTCTTGAGTACACAGCTTACCAACTGGTATGTGAGACCAAACTGGAGGGAGCCCCCTGCCCCCATTGTTTGTGGGTGTGCCATTAAATACCGATGGCTATAAAATTTTTGTTAATTTTTATTTTTTAAATTTATTTTTATTGAAATATAATTGATTTACAATGTGTTGGTTTCTAGTGTACAGCTTTCATTCAGTTATACATATATATATATATATATATATATATATATATATACGCATGTATATATTTTTTCTTTTTCATATTATTTTCCATGATGGTTTGTTATGCAACATTTTGAAAGTGATAAAAACTTAAAATCAATTTTTACAGCCATTAAAAAATTTTCACAGTTAAAATTACATCTGAACAGTCTACAGATTCTGAATTGCCTAAGAAGACTAAAGGTGTCATGCTTTCCACCAGAGAGTTCTCTGCAGGGGTACTTTTCCCCCAGGTGTGCCAGACATGAATTATCACTTTCTAATTTTGTCATGATGAGCTTGAGAAGCACAACTCTAGTATATAATAATCACAACTATATATGTATAACTGAATGACTGTGCTGTATGTCTGAAACTAACACACCGTAAATCAACTGCACTTCAATAAAAAAGTTAATTTATCATATTAAAAAACCCCACAACTGTTCAATGAGTTTTTCATGGAGTAGAAACTTACTAAATATTTATTAGCAGATTGGTATAAAGGAGATCATTGAGAATAATTGGCTTCCAGAGGAAATGTAAGGAAAAATGAAGTATAAGAGGAACAAGTATTTTCCATTATCTTCAATGGCATTTTACAATGACTGCAGACAAAATATAATGTTACCAATACCACATATATAAAGCACAAAACATAGACTCTAGCAGTTCAGCCACAGCTTCTCTCTCCAGCCTCAAAGTTGTACCAGAATAAGGATGGAATTTATGAGCTTTTCCATGGTTTTACCACTTAGATGAATTGCAGTCTCAAAGACTAGGTTAAGATTGATATGGAGGACATCAGAGCCCAAGGGAGACTTTGGATTTGTTGGACAGTCATTCTTTAGGGCTGTGTGCCCATTTCCCATAATTTTTGCTTTCTGCTTTCAAATGACCCTGTTATACCTTCCTTAGGCCTACGAGTTAAAAGACCCCTGGCATGCTGAATGATAATTTAGTATGTTGTACACACTCCTACTCAATATGGCTTTGTAGCTTTGGCTTTTGTATTCCTCAAAAACATCAGACAAAACAACCTCTTGCTACCTGTGTCATAAAGTCCATTTTCCTGAAAGAATAAAAAAGGAGAAGGAAGGAAAAAAAAATCAAGTCACTGTAAAAAAAAACACTTCAAATATGACTTTTGGAATTTAAATGCAATTACATCTCTTCTTTTATTCTTTTTTATTCATTTCTATTACACATTTCTCTGACCTTTGTGTTTTCCAGATTCATAATATCCTGGCCTCTCCCACCTGACCCAATATAATTCTCAGCAAAGAACAATTGCAATGGATGATATGGTTATTTTTTGAGGGATGGATCGCTTGACAGCTTGCTGAAAAACACCTCCATCTGGGGCCCTGTCAGCTCCTCAAGAGTGCAAAGAAAGCAATCTGTAGCTGTTTTACAGCCATGGGAAGTTTTTTTTTTTTTTTTTTTTTTTTTAAGATGATGGATAATTCAACCTGGCAATTGGTTCCTCCTCTGTGAGTGCAGGATAAAAGGGGACCACCCTGGGGATTATTAACCCTGAAAGTGATTGTTCAAACCCAGTTTTGTCATTTTTATCACAAGAAGTCCGCTTCATCTCAGCTTGTAGAAATTTTCAGGTGTGACTTGAGAAATGTGTATCATTTGATTACTTATCAAAGAACAGAGAAAAAGGAAAGCTATCTCACAAAGCCCATAAAATGTCATACTTTTTTGTAAGCTCATAAATTATATTGGTAACTAGCCAGTAACCAAAACCCAAGAGCTCTTTGTTCAGCATGTAAGACCAGTGCCTCCCAAGTGCCCCATTTGTTTTACCAAACAGAAAGCTTATTCTCCCTAGATCCGTTAGCTAGTCTTTTTCAAAGTGGTAAACAATAATTCTTGGACTGCAAGGAGATCAAACCAGTCAATCCTAAAGGAAATCAACCATGAATACTCATTGGAAGGACAGATGCTGAAGCTGAAGTTCCAATACTCTGGCCATCTGATGCAAAGAGCTTCTCATTGGAAAAGACCCTGATGCTGGGAAAGACTGAAGGCAAAAAAAGAAGGGAGTGGCAGAGGCTGAGATGGTTAGATAGCATCACCAACTCAATGGACATGAGTTTGAGCAAACTCTGGGAGATAGTGAAGGGCAGGAGAGCCTGTGTGTCCTGCAGTCCCTGCGGTTGCAAAGACTCAGACATGATTTAGCAGCTAAACAAAACCAGCAAAACAAAAATTCAGGGCCACAGACAGGAGAGTTTCAGGAAGTCAAGTAGCTACTGAAACTTAGGAAAACTAGCCATGCACAACTATCAAAGAAGATGAACTGAGGCTTCCTTCACAAAGTGAAAGTGTCAGTCTCTCAGTCGAGTCTGACTTTTCGACCCCATGGACTGTAGCTGCCAGGCTCCTCTATCCCTGGGATTCTCCAGGCAAGAATACTGGAGTAGGTTGCCCTTCCCTTCTCCAGATTTTCCCAGTCCTTTATAATGTATCAGTTTTCTTCAACCGCTAGGTGGCAACATCATTTTAAGGCCCTTTGGGATTAGAAGGAGAGACTCAAAGGTCTGAATGCAGGTTAAGGTTAGGGGCATGAGTGGGCAACCAGCTGCTCTGCTCACACATATGGGCATTTGTAAGTCAGAGATTTCTAACCCAGCCTACATAAAGTTGCCAGAAAGACTGCACAGATGTTTTTAATTACAGTTTAAGGATGTAGTATAGACAACAGGTAAGTAATCTCCCAGTATTTACTAATATGCATTCACTAATGCTATACTGATGTTTTGTCCCTTTGTCTTACAGGACAAATGAGGTTTTGTTGTAATGTTAGCATCAAGTCTGGTTGTAAATCTGATGACTAATTCTTAGGTACCAGGTGTGCATGCTAAGTTGCTTCAGTTGTGTCCAACTCTTCACAACCTTGTGGACTGTAGCCTGCCAGGTTCCTCAGTCCATAGGATTCTCCAGGCAAAAATACTGGAATGTATTGCTATGCCCTCCTCCAGGGGATCTTCCTGACCCCAGAGATTGAACCTGCATCTCTTATGTCTCCTGCATTGGCAGACAGGTTCTTTACTACTAGCACCACCTAGGAAGCCCTTATGCACCATAGCGACCACATGAATAAGAGTAAATAAATTTAATTGATTTAAAAACTATTATAACCTAGAGGGGTGGGATGGGTTGGGAGATGGGAGGGGACATATGTCTAACTATGGCTGATTCATGTTGATGTATGAGAGAAACCCATACAACATTGTAAAGCAATTATCTTTTGATTAAAAATTAATTAAAAAGAAACTATTACTGAATATTTAATGAGATACTAAGTGAATCCAGACAGAAAGACAAATATACTGCTTATATGCAGAATCCAAAAAAAGGATACAAATGAACTAATTTACAAAGCAGAAATAGACTCACAGACACAGAGAACAGGTTTATGATTACCAAAGGGGAAAGTGTGGGATAAATTAGAAGTTTGGGATTAACATCTATCCACTATAATATGTAAAATAGATAACCAACAAGGACCTACCATAAAACACAAGGTACTCAATGTCTTGGACTTTCCTTGTGACTCAGCTGGTAAAGAACCCACCTGCAATGTGGGAGACCTGGGTTCGATCCTTGGGTTGGGAAAATCACCTGGAGAAGGGATAAGCTACCCACTCCAGTATTCTGGCCTGGAGAATTCCATGGACTATACAGTCCATGGGGTTGCAAAGAATCAGACAACACTGAGTGACTTTCACTTTCACTCAATGTCTTACAGTAACCTTTAATGGAAGAGAATATAAAAAATGCATGTATGTGCATAACTAAATCACTCACTGTACACCTGAAATGAATACAATATTGTAAATCAACTATATTTTTAAAAAAAATTAAAAATGTCTATTGAGAATATAATCTTAGAGAAGACAATTCAGCAAGAGAGTGCCATCTCAAACTTGTTACCGTCAATCTGAGTCTCAGCATCCTTGTTGCAGGAGTGGGGGAATGCACACCCAGTTGCCTTTTCATTATATTTTAAAATTAAGTTTAATTATATATACATTTAAAATTTTTTGAAGTATGGTTGACTTACAGCATTATATTATTTTCAGGTGCACAACATAGCGATTCAATTTTTTATATAGATAACACACCAAAGTTACAGAATATTGACTGTCTTCCCTGTGTTGTATATCTCTGTGACCCATTTATAACTAGTAGTTTCTTTTAAACCCCTTCACTTATTTCTCCCCTCTGCCCCACCTCTCTCGGTTGTAACCACTAGCTTGTTCTCTGTAT